AGGGAGCCGTGGGGGGGCTGGAGCCAATCCCAGCTGGCACAATGTTGTTCATGTTGCAATACAATGGCAAGTCTCCTCTGGCAATTCCAAAGTCTGAATGTGGGACATTAAAGAAGCAGCAGAAAGTGTAATAAAGAGCCCGTAAAGTCGCTCGGAGCATCAAAATGAACTGATTAAGGAGCTTCCTCCCTCCTCCTCTCCACATGGATAACACATTAATAAGTTACCACTGTGCACGTTACGCCGGGCTCTTACCTATTCAACGTATAGGACCCGTTCCGTTTAAACCTCATCCTGAATGACAGGAAGCGGATAAAGAAATCCAGAATTGACGACGTTTCAGCTTTTTTTGTCGCACCTTGAAAGAAGCAACCCACACCGCGTCTCCTTCGCTCCGTGGCCTGGGCTGCAGAGCAAACAAACGCGGAACAATACAGACTTGCTCTTTGCGGTCCTCCCTCGCTGTTCCGACACCTTTCTGTCTTTCTATCGCTTCTTCCCAGACCTCCCTCTCCTCCTCCGTCGCCCCCTCCCCCTCGAGTTAGTTTCCGTGAGGCAGGGTTAACGAGTCTTCAGAGTGCGGGCGTTGCGTTAAGGTAAAGACAAAGCTCGTACGGGCGACATGCGTGGAGTGCACGGCAATGCAAGGTGGAAAAATATCTGGAGATATTAACACGGAGTCTGGTTGAGGCTGGGTCGGCTTTGTGTGCACAACCTCGCTGACGCAAAGCACCACGTTTTCTCTCTCTCACTCGGAGAGGGAGAGAGAGAGAGAGAGAGGGGGGGAGAGAGAGAGAGAGCACCCAGAATGAATTTAAACCCTCTCTTTTAGTAAGTCCACATCTACTCCCCCTTCTCTGGCCCCGTTCAGCGCCATAAAGCAACGTCTAACACACAAAACCATTAAAAAGAAATTTACAAGCCAGTGGTCATTTATGAAAAATGGCTTTGGATGCGCGCCCGCTTCCTTCTCCCCATTCACGGACCCGTGGAGGCTCTCGTATTTCAGCAGCGTTTCATATCAGAGGAGCTATATATACACATTTTATATTCCTCCATAGGCTGAACACAAACCAGACTCCAGCGGCACAACACGGCTCTTGTCAGCGCCTGGAGGGTGAGACAGATCTGAGCTAAGAATAGAGCGGAGGACCCATTAATGCCATTTAAAACCAAAGCAGCCTTGGAAGTCTTTCTAATGGACACACACACACACACACACACACACAGATACATGATGCAGGAAGCTGGTAAACATGTTTGAAGCCCAGGAACAGAATTAAAGCTTTTATTTACTAGCATTCATCACTGGTAGGTGTGGTATAAATTTGAAAAGCATGTAGTTCAATAAAAGAAAAATGTCTATTTAAATAATTTGGGTATTTGCAACTGTCACCCTAACATGTTATAATGTTAATAAAACTGGGAGTTTGCCTATGTAATCTGCCACTACTGCACCCACATCTGTTGACCTCATGCCAGGTGCTGCTGTGAGCACAACGACCAAAGGGACCAGCTACAGTCAAGTGTAATGACTGGCTTGCAGAGTAATGTCCACGTAGCAGGAAGGGGCAATGACCAAACATGGGAAAATAGCAGGCAGGATAATTCAAAGTGGAAAAGCTGACACTGGAAAGAATTTACAATGACAAAGTGTGATCTTTATCGTTGCGCCCAGACGGCTCCCTCCAACTAGCCTGTACTCATGCCCTCAGGGGGAGAGACGCCCTGCTGGAGGAGCTTAAACCAGTCTATGCATGTGTACACTGACAGCAACTAAAGGTGGGTCAAAGCTGTTGTTTTTGTCAAGTTTGGGTTTGCTTGGTGATGTATAACAATAGTTGGTTCAGAGGAGCTGGAGAAGAAAATGAGATGGAGAGACAGGGAGAAGAAGGCCAGACCGCAAAGACCGACAAATGGAGGGACCAGATGTGCTTTTCTTACAGTCAGTTAAGAATGCTGTGTGAAAGGGGAAAATGACGTGCAACAAGAGTCCCAAACTGGAATCAAATCCAGGGTTATGTCAAAAATGTAAAGGCACTATTTTTCTCTATTATAAATGATAATAACAACAAGACTAATTAAAGAACAAGTCCAGCTCACATCAGAGCAATGCCTCATTAACTTTTCTGTGTATAGGTCTTAAAGGATTAAAGCGGGAAAATATAGGAGATGAAGAATCCAGGCAAGTGGGGAGTTCAAAGCATTCAGACTTATTCAGCATTACATCATGGTGGTGTGGTGCAGTGTCTGTGTGTGTGTGTGTGATTCCTCTGCTCCCACAAAATCACTCCAGGTTGGTTTCAATGGCTCCAAACTCACTTATTAACATAAAAGCAGCCTGGCATCAGAACTGCTGATCAGTCACACAACCACTGCTGCATAGTCAGTCACTGCAGAGTTACACAACAGCCACTGGACGG